TCCATCCTGCTTTATTCTCTCCTCTTCTCCCTTCTCTCCTTTTTCTCTGCTCAGCTCCACCCTCCTTCTGGGTGGGGCAGGGAACCTGGAACTTCCCTTTTTCCTAGGGACCACCCTGTTACAAGACTTCTTTCAGGTTCACTCACTATATTTTTAAAGGCTTCTAGTCTCATTTCAGTGATGCAGTAGCTTTTGTTTTCTTTATCATTGTAACTTTTTTAGTTTAATGCTCTGGTTTTTTTTGTGCTTTTTTTTGTCCTCTGATTTTTCTTTTCTATTTGTTATCATTCTCTTTCATGTTGGAAACTTGACTGAAATGTTTGGAGATGTATTGTTAATTTATGTTTAAAAGTAAATCACTGAAATGCTGAAGTAATTGTAGTATGTATGGACAGAACTTGTCTACTGATAGGAAATTGGATTTCAACTGGTTTTTAGCTAGACACTCATATGTCAGTATCTTTGGTTCTCTGGTCAGGGCCTATTAGATGGCTGCAGAGAAGTATCCTTTTGTTGACTGACCAAGAGGTATAGTCTAATCCCTGGCCTGCTGGGAGACACAGATCCCAGTGGGGGCTGAGTCTCAGGTTAAATGTGTGGGCTTCAACTTTATTCCTTATTTGCCCTGATAGCCCTGCCAGCTTTCTCTACCATGCCTGATGCCTCTGCATCTTATCTCCAATAATTACCAGAGGAGCTACTCTCTGAATGGTTTCCTGAAAATGCTCGGGAGGGCAGTCACCAGCTCCTCCAAGCTTGGTGTAATGATGGATGTGTCCTAATCGCTCCTTACACACGAGTGATTAGTCCTTTAAAGTAGTCCCTTTGTTTTCACCCCTCTGCCTCACTGCCATTCCCCAAAGTCCTTGGTGCCTGCAATCCCCGAGCCTTTCCTGAGAGTGTGACTCTGCTTGCTTCTGATCAGTATCAGGTTTAGGATTTAGTTTTTCTAATCTGTTTTAAGCTTTTATCACTCTCTCCACTTTGATCTTCTAATAGTTTTGACATCTCTTATCCAGTGTTATCTTCTCTCCCATTCTCTTTGAGGTTTTACATATTTTGTTAGTGGAGTTTTGAAAAGGAGCTTGTCATATCACTATAGATAACTAAATGTCAAGTTTAAGTATCTTAAGTTTTTAAGTGTGTTTCTCTCCCACTCCTTATATTTTTGCTCTTATAGGGGGAATCTGTATACACCCTTTTGAGAAGCAATGGATTTGGACATCTAACATGGTTTACTAGTACTTGAACTGGTTCATCACTTGTTCTAATTTGTAATGTGTGTCAGAAAAGACCCACCTGTTACTTTTTGAGGTTGAATAGAATTCTTGTGACATCCAGCTTCTAGTCACTTTACACCTAAAGTGGTATACTCACAGGATATCCATGAATCTCTAAGCATGTCCAGTGGTAGGCCGTGGGTGTCAGTGACTTAGCGAATACCTTGGTTCTCTGTCTTAATATTGTTGAACAATCAGAATGTAATTGCTGTAGATTTAGGCTCCTGATAAGTTCTCAGTTTCTTTCACATTTAATGTTACAGAATAATCACTCCAGAGATTGTGGAGTATTGGTTCCTTTTCTAAATAAGTCTTTGAAATTTGGATAAAACCACTTGACTATGGTGTGAGGAAGGAAGGAAAACACACCACACTTGACACTAGGCTGGGCATTTCCATGGACAGATAGCAGTGGACTGGAGAACTTGGCTTTCTCCCATGAAACAGTTTCTTACAGAGAAACATCCTGTGGTGTTCCTGGCTTTTGCTGGGAAGGAAGTAGATTATTAAGATGGTTTTGGTGTTCTACAGAAAACTCTCATCAGAGGAATTAGAGCGAAAGCGGCAAGAGATGATGGAAAATGCCAAGTGGCGGGAGGAAGAGAGACTGAACATCCTGAAGCGGCACGCTAAGGACGAGGAACGGGAGCAGCGGCTGGAAAAGCTAGACTCCCGGGATGGGAAGTTTATCCAGTGAGTGCATCCTTCTGCCTTATTGTGTTCATGGGGATGGTTCCGAGGAGGCAGTCCAGCAGCGGTATTCGTTGTATTCACCACATTCCTGTGTGTGCAGAGCCACTGAGCTCCACCTCCACACCACATCCACATCTCCCAGCATCTGGCCAGACAGTGGGGTGGTTTTGATTTGCAGGGAGGAGAAGGGAACGGTGTTTTCATTGATTCCCCTTGGCCTTCTTTTTAAATAAGAACTCTTGGAAGCCTATTTTCACTGACACTTTGACTTATTTCCAAAGTAGATCATTTTTCCTTATGGACATTGGTTTAAAAATTCAATTCTAGATAGAGTCACACTCTGAGGGCTTCGCTTCAGATGCTTGTGTTTCTACAGTGGCTTTATGGCTAGCAGCCTGCCAGATAGTTGCCAGTTGATGAGTGCTTGTTATTTATATGGGACTCTCTTCTCTCCTAGCCGCATGAAGCTAGAGAGTGCGTCTACATCCTCTCTGGAGGATCGAGTGAAACGGAACATCTACTCTCTGCAGAGGACCTCAGTAGCTCTGGAGAAGAACTTCATGAAAAGATGAAAACCATCCCCTCTCATGTGTTTTCCTGAATTTTCCAGGGAGGCCACTGACCACTTAAACATTCTCTTTATAAGAGTTCAGGTGACTTCTTCCACAGATGTCAAAGCACCACTGTTCAAAGTGACTCTTGATTCCTGAAGCAGCTCACTTTTGAGAACCAGTGTGACTTGCTTTATGGAGCACTCAGTGACTTTTTATGGGTCTCGACCTGTTTCTTAAAAAGCAGGTACTAGATCCTCTAGATGTGAGGTCGGATGCTGCTCTGGAAGACTGCTGCCCGTGGTCGTGATGTTTATTCTGTTCTATCCCCCCAGTCTGGCGAACAGACTTACCCAGCACCTCTGTATAGACTATAGTCTTCAGAAATAGCTCTCTCCATGGTCACCCAGATAAATTGTGTTTGTTTGGGTAAATGAACATCCACTTAACTTGGGAGTTATGTGACAGGATGATGTCAGGTTAGGTTAGAGCCAAGGGAATGACAGGGAGTCTAGAAAAAAATACAAACAAGCCCTAAGTGAACTGTTGAACCATTTGGATTATATTTTGAACTGTAAAAGTGTAGTGTGTATATATGTACAAATGTGTAATTTTTACGTGCTTTTTAAAAAAAAGTTAGCTTTGTGAGACTATCTCAGTTGGTAAAGACTGCTGTGTGAGGAAGCCACCCCATCTTGTGTGGAGTCACAGTAAGGCAGTCAGGTGCGCCTGGCCCTCTGCAAATCCCGCTAGTTTTAAGAGGGACCTTTGTTTATGGATAGGGTCTAGATTAGCTCCCCTTTTATAGGGCTTGGTCTCTGGTGTGACCTGTAGTGGTGAAGTCAAATAATTTTAGGAGTCATTATGCAACCTGGCTCTTAAACAGAAGTTATTTATTTCTTGGCTTCCCTTTTATCATGTAATAATCACATAATTCTAGGTTTCCAGGAATTGTTTCCTACTATTTTTTGGTCAGGTATTAAAAAACCCCAAAAACTCCTGAGACCAATTTCCTGTCATTTTTCTGTTCTTTCCCCTGTCATTTTTGTTCTTTCCCCAGAAGCCCTCATTTGACTCTTAGCAACAACTAGACACTCTTGACCCCCTCCCACCCCCACCCCCCACATATTCATTAGCTGGATTAGTTCCACCTTCTGCTACTTCTGCTTAAAACTAATTTGGATTATTATTTTTGAGCACCTAGGATGTCAGGCACTATAATGCCCATTCCTTCCCTAGAAAGTAACATACACTTGTTATTCATTTAATCACCTCATCTTATTCCCTATGTAAAGTTTAATTATGTCTTTCATTTTATTACTCAGTAATAAAGGTTACATTTATTTTTGTAGCTGTTTAAAGAGCTACCACGTGCCGAGTAACGAATTTAGGAGTTGCCATACAATGTTGATGCATAAATGTGTCGAATATAAAGAGGCCCTCGGTCCCAGAGAAATTGTGTAATAAAGCGTGTACCATTTACTCAATGATTTTATGAAGTAAACCAGCGAATGGGCGATTACCACTCCGCTGTAGGGTGGGTGTCTTGAGATGCTGCGGACTTCTCAGCTCCGCCCGTTGGCGGGAGTAGGCCGGCGGCAGGTGGGTGGGTGTAGGACCCATTCATAAAACCGAGGCTCCAGGCTTGCCCCTCTCATTGGCCTGGGGAGAAGGGGGCGTGCCCCGCGGGTGGAGCGCGCCCAGGGCCCCGGGGAGTGGGAAGATCCACGCTTGGGAGGAGCGAGGGGGCGTTCCTCGGTTTTCCCGGCAGGACTTCCTTTTCCCCTTGCTGTGTTCCTCCTCTCTCCCCCGGGGTGGCAGGTGGTACGTCCCTTCCTCCTCGTCTTCCCGCCCCACCTCCCCTCCGGCGCGGAGGGGCCGCCGCCATCTTGGCACGTCAGGTTGAGGGAAAAGCCAAATCCAGCCTTTGGGGGGGGCCCGGAAGGGCGACCCTCCCGCGACAGGCAGCGAGACCTGCCGGCCCGCCGCCCTTCCCGCTCCCACGCGGGGCTCTGAGGCGCGCGGAGGTCGAGCCGCCTCAGTCAGCCCGGGGAGGAGG